TTTTTATTTAGAAAAAAAAAAAATTATTTGAAAAATTGGTTTTATTTTGAAAAATATCTTCTTTATATCTTTTTTATTTTTGAAAAATATCTTTTTTATGTTGAAAAATATCTTTTTTATTTTTGTTTGTCGTCCTCCAGCAGGAGACGAGAGGATCGCAGTCCCAGCGTTGAGATCATCTACGAGGGAACCATCCCCCCCAACGCAGCCCACCCCCCCGCTAGGAAACGCCGCAGGAAACGCCAACGCAAGACCCAGCACAGCAGGTACTAAACAGATTCATTAACATATAACTAAATATATAATGTACAGTAACAGTCAAAAGTTTGGACACACCTTCTCTATCGAAGGTTTTTATTTATTTGTATTATTTTTTACTTTGTAGATTAATACTGAAGACATCAAAACTATGAAAGAACACATGTGGAATTATCTAGTAAACAAAAAAGTGTAAAAAATCCAGAATATGATTTTTATTTGATATTCTTCAGAGTAGCCCCTTTTGCCTTGATGACAGCTTTACTCACTCTGGGCGTCTCCTAAGCCCCGGCCACACGAGGACGATAACGGTCGTATCTGCTACAGTTCACGATCAGATAGACGTTCGGCCACACGAGGCCGACATGGAAACGCATATATTATTCTTATATTATTATATAGAGTCGTTAACTGTTTGACTGCTGTTGTAATACGAGTTGTCATAATCTGTCAAATTAAAATGCTATAAACTGTTTTTTTTTCTTTAGTTCTCCGGTCATCATCACGCTGGATAGCGACAGCAGCCACGAGGCTAACAACAACAACAGCAGCTGCAGCAGCAGTCCAATCAGCAGCCAGCAGACCGTTGACTTCTCAGACCTTCCTCCCCTCCCATTGGTCCATCCCTCCGGAGTGGGTGGGGCTTTGAGCGGTGAAATCGGCGATCTTCCCGTCGACATCCTGGATCCAATCGCCATCAACAGTGACATCGATGTGGAAAACTTTGAAGTGGGCGGGTCTTCATTGGACGAGGAGCCAATCAGAACGCCCGATTTATCCGATGATGCGGAGGTCACAAATTCACAGCGTAAAAGAAAGTCGATTTCTGACAGCCGTTTGTTAGCGAGGATCCTCAACGACCTGCAGGGAATCAATACGGCTAAATTGAACCCGTTGAACTTCGAGCCACGTGATTCCAGAAGAAATCGCTTTTTAAGGGACGACAATATCGATCATCGGGACTTCGACCCGCCGACGTATCGTAACGCCACCCACCCGTTGACTTATTTTGAGCGGTTAAAAGAAAAGGAAGTCCCGCCTCTCTTAAAACAGGCGAGTCCCGTTCGGACGTACAACAGAAACACGCCGCCACCATTAAAACACAAAGACGCCGGGAGTCCACACCTGTCGCCGATTTCTCCCATTGACCTCCATTCAAATCCCACCATTGACGTGTCTCAAGGTAATCGCGCCATCCCGCCCATCTCAATGCTGAAAAAACATTTCACGAGCGCTCTGGCTCTGAGAGGAGAGCTGGCCTCCACTAGTTCAGCCATTGACTCCCATTCTTCTAAAGTCAGCTTCCATTCCACGAGTCAAAAACCTCCCATTGATTCCCATTCTTCTTCTTCTGAAACTGGCTCCACGAGTGCTGCTTGCTTATCACATCTGGATTTCAACTTGATACCCCCCGCAAAGGAAACCTCATCTTCAACCGTTGACTTGCATCCTGTGAATTCTTTATCTCCCTTTGAATGCCACACGGCCAAGACTGGATGGTCCAATGATAAGCTAGCTAACGCCGACTCTAGGAATAAGACTCTGAGACCAGATTACTGTCATGTTTCACCCGTTGACCTCCATCCTTCCAGCCGGGGTGGAGAAGATTTCTCAGGAGTTTGCTGTAACGACAAATCACCGCCTGTGTTTGTTTCATCCATCGCTGCATTCCCACCAATTGACTCCCACTCTTCCAGTAAGAGAGATAACTTTAGAGGTAGATATGCGCCATCAACAGCTCCAAGCAACAGGTTGTCACCCATTGACATGCATCCTAAGAGTCCAAAACATACCACTGACCTCCACTCTTCAAGTAAGAGATATCACTTTTTGGAAAATCTTACAACCTCTAGAGCTAGCTCGGAGGTAATAACGGCTCCCAGAAGCAGCTATTCACCCATTGACTTGCATCCTAAAAGTCCAAAACATACCACTGACCTCCACTCTTTAAGTAGGAGAGATAACTTTTTGGAAAGTCTTTCAACCTCTAGAGCTAGCTCGGAGGTAATAACGGCTCCCAGAAGCAGCTATTCGCCCATTGACTTGCCTCCTATGAGTCCCAAATCTACCGTTGACCTCCACTCTTTAAGTAGGAGAGATAACTTTTTGGAAAGTCTTTCAACCTCTAGAGCTAGCTCGGAGGTAATAACGGCTCCCAGAAGCAGCTATTCGCCCATTGACTTGCCTCCTATAAGTCCCAAATCTACCGTTGACCTACAAACATCCAGTAAGACAGATAACTTTCCAGAAAGTCTTTCAACTTCTAGAGATAACTCAATGCCAACCACAGCTCCCAGGTTATCACCCATTGACGGGCATCTTAAAATTCCCAAATATACCGCTGACTTCCACTCTTCCAGTAAGAGAGATAAATTGTCAGAAAAGCTTTCAAGATCAGTGTTAACACCGGCTACAAGTGGCAGGTGGTCACCCATTGACTTGCATCCTAAAAGTCCAGAATCTACCGGTGACTTCCACTCTTTCAGCACAACTTCTAAAGGACTGACGAACAACAAAGCATTGTTGTTAGTCAATCATGGGGATGCATTGCCTCATGGGCGCCTGACACCCGTTGACTTGCATGATACGAGTCCCTTTTCCCCCATTAACACACATCCTTCCAGCTCACACTTTAACCACACAGCCTTAACCGCCGCTACCTTCCAAACACCACGTAAAAGAAGCAGTTCTCAGTCCGAGGCTACCATTGACTCCCACTCAAAGCCTCAAAACCACCACAATAGGTTCCCCACTGACGCTCTTTCGCAGAGTAGTCTCCCCATTGACTCTCATCTAAAAAACTCTCGGACGGACAATCACGTGGAGAACCAGTGGAACTCAAACTCACCCATTGACGCCCATTCAGACTCTGCCACGTAGAACACGCACCTGAAATGTATTCAAATAATGAACAGCTGTTTTTTTTTACTTTGTTAATGTGTTGATTTAAAATGTGACGGTTCAGACGACCTTTCGTGAGGCTGGCTCTGAGATTTTATCTTAATTTTTTAATGTTAAGTTAGTTTAAAAAGAGGGGCGAAATAAATAAAAAGTGTAATTTTTTTATTGAACGATCATCTCTCTTCAGGGCCACATGTTTGTGGATGTGACTAAAAGTAAAAATAAAATAAAAAGATTTTAGAAAAGTCGAAATTTGTAAGAAATTCTGAGATTTTTCAAAGACCTAAAAACTTGAAAAATTCATATTTTTTTCAGATATCTGAGCAAAATGACAGAAGTTTACATTTTTACTTTTGGTTTCATCCCAAAAAAAATTCTCGTTTGTCTCCAATCGTTCTCTGTAGATTATCAAGGGTGGAAATGTATCTGGAGGTTTAAAATAAATAAACACTGAATTTCTTTCATTGGTTGGTTTGACTCTCTTATTAATGCAGCCTGCAGCAGTTTGAGGGAAACAGCCATACATTACATTTACCACAGGTTCGCAAGTGTTGAAAATAAATCAAGGGTCGAGTAAAAGTTAAAACAAGTTTTTTTTATAAAGTTTTAATTTCTTGTTGTGTAAGTGTGTGAATGTGTTCAATAAAGGTTTGTTCAGAAAGTGATTCCTAATAAATATAAAGTTCTATTCAGGCCCTTTTGAATATTTTTCTCAAATATCATGACTTTCTTTTCTCTAAAATATTCCACGATTCAACACGATTTAAAAAGATATGACATTTCTGACGGGTTTACTTTTTCTTCCCAACATTTTTTAACAAAACTCTGAGGTGCAGTTCGTGTTTTTCACCAGCAGAGGGAGCCCTCTTTTCCTCCTCGTGTCCTTCACGTTCTCCTCAAGAGACTGAGAGGATAACGAGCCTCCAGGGAGACATTCACACACACACACACACACACACACACACACACACACACACACACACACACACACACACACTAATTAAGACTATCAGCGGTCCATTAAATGGCCACACACACACACACACACACACACACACACACACACACACACACACACACACACACACACACACACACACACACATCCAGACACACTTTATTATATTGTGTATTTCTCCTTATTGAATTTGTGTAATGGCAAAAAAAATACATATCTCACCACTAATATTAAAAAAAGTCTCTAAAATATTCAAATGTTATGTCTTTTTATTCAATATATTACCGCCTTTTTCTATAAAGTATTCCACTTAAATCAAAATTTTTTTTCTGAACTCGAGATATTTTTTAAAATATTTTCTGTGAAATATTTGAACTTATTTTCTGTAATTACGCTTTTTCCTTTTCTCAGACATTTATAACTTAAACTGACTATTTTCTTGAAATATCACTACTTTGTATTTTTTATTTTCCCTTAACACGTTTTTAAAAATATGATTTATTTCTATTATCAAGTTTGTACGGAACCCCCTGGGGACCTGGAGAAGGGAAAAAAATGTATTTGAACAAAACGTTTTTTTTGCGAGATCTCGCAAAACCCCGTTGCAGTTTGTAGACGGTCCCTAAGCACTCCTCCTCCAGCAGCAGATAGTGACCAATTCTCGATGTTTAGCTCGGGTGACGGCGCGTATAGAACTGTTCTGATAAAAACGACTCTGTAGCTCGTTGTCTACCTTGCTATGATTGTAAAGTCATGTTGTTTGTATTTTTACAACGTTATGTTCATGAGTTATTGATCCGCGAAATTCGAATCTGTCAATAACTCAGCTCAGAGGGACGTGCATGTCCCCTCGCTCTGAGTGTTCTCTTGAGGTGTCTTCACTTATGTGAAACCCTTTATATATATATATATGTGTATATATATATATGTGTGTGTGAAACCCTTTATATGTATATATATATATATATGTGATGTTATATCTTTATATTTAAACCCAAGCTCAAAGTAAAATCGATGAACCGCTCCATTGTTGTGGTTTCTGTGTTGCCGAACTGACCAGGAAGTACATTGAGCTAAATGAAAAGTTTTGCGAGGTCTCGCAAAGGGGTTTTGCAATATCTCACAAATGTTTTGCAATATCCCGCAAAACATTTTTTATTTTATTTTTTTCAAATAATTTTATTTTTCTTCTCCGTGTCCCCTAGGGGGCTCCGTACATTTGTTCGAGTTTTCACTGAAAAAATAATACGCCTTTTTCATCCAAAATATTCCTCTTTTCTTTATAATTTAATTAAATAAACATTGAGACTCAACACGGGGCTAAGGCCCATTCCCAAACCGCCCCCTACACCCTACCCCTACGTTTGCGCGTTCACGCGGAGGGTCCGCCATATTGAGGGCTGTCCCAAAGCAACGAGTGTGGAGCGGTGTGGAGGGGGAGTGGGCTATCAAGCCCTCAAACAGCGAGTCTCAGCGGTGCTGACTTGAGACCGGTCTCTACCTTACCGGAGTCACGCTGTGTGTGTCCGTCAGGAAACAAGCTGTTAACAAGTAGTTCCAGCAAACATCCACTGATAAATTGCGATGTTAACATCATGATAACCTCATATGTTTTTAACTTAGGATCATATCTGTGTTTAGTCTAGAAAAAGGTAAATGTGTGCATTTTATTATAAAGTTGTGTATATTTACAGACTG